TAAAGGGGGTATTATTCTAGAAACAATGTCTTATTAATAAGCTCTTTTACAGTTCATCCTTGGCAACTTCATTACTACTAGTACCAGCATCATCTTTCATCTCCTTACTAGAATCTAAATCTACTGTTGAAGAAGATGAAGTAATAATTTCACCTTTTGCAGTTTTTGCAGCATTTGCAATTGCAATAAGTTCATTACATAATTCTTCACCTTTTGGTGAACCTAATCCTGTTACAGCATCCCATCCTTGTTTAGCTTCATAATACCCATTATTTCCTTGCGTTATATCAGTAAAACCAATACCTTTTTTTCCTAATTCATATAGTTCTTTATGCAGATGAATATGCTTAGCTAAATTATCTCCAAATTTTTGGTTACAACGTGCAAATAAAGCTGCCCATAAAGGAGTGGACAAGCTAGTACCACCTATAAAAGTCCATTTACCAGAAATTGTAGTAGCATAGCCAGTATATGGATCAGCATTAGCGCTCACATCAGGAACTCCTAATTTACCTGTATAACCTTGAGGTATACTAAAATCTGTAGATTTACAAGAATTATCATATTTTTTAGTTGAACTGCCTTGGTATTGAGGAATATTGAAATCTTGACTAAATCCACCTCCACTGCCTGAAATGCTGCTTTGATGGCCAGATTGAGCTTCAATAAATGTTTGTTCATTACCCCATGAAATTTCCTTTTTTACTTGACCACTACTGCTAACAATAAGTTTAGTTCCACCTACAGCTATAGCATGAGGACTTGAAGCTGGAAAATCTACAGTTAATTCTTCTGTTCTATCATAAGCACCATTATCCCCAGAAGCTGCAAAAATAGTCGCACCTGTTATACTTGCTTTAGCTAAAATATTATTAATCATAGATGATTCATATGACTCTGAACTTCCCCAACTTGTTGAAATTATATCAGCCTTTGTAGCAGCTAGTTTATATACTTCATAACCATTCATTCCATTATTTGGAGCAAAGAAGACTAAAATTTTAGCAGCAGGTGCTAAACTATGAACAACTTCAATATCAGACATTACTTCACCATCAGCATCACTTTGTCCTCCATTATAGTTATTGATTCCTCCAAGGACTTCAACTGCCTCA